CAGCTTGCTGTGCAATGCTTGTAGGTCTTGCATCTTTGCTGATCTTTGCTTCCCTGAGAGAGGCACAGCCAAGAACTTCTCCTGGTATCCCTCTAGGTCCCTCCTGCTGACTTGAGCAGAGGCTGAGGCCTGGCTGTCTCTGCTAGGTAGTGCCACACCACTGCTGCTAACCTGACTCTACCAAACTGGAGTGCTGATGTAGCCATGAAGTGTTTGCGAGTCCTAAGTGGGAAACAGGAGCCTCTGATGTTATGTTGGCTGATTAGTTACATTTTAAGAGGACATCCCTGGAACCCAACTCTTCTTCTCCACATGCCTTTAACTAAATCTTCCTTTTGCTCCTTTCTCCACATGCTGTCAGTTAAGCTTTCTGAAACCTCTAGAGGATGAACCGCATAGTTTTATTTATTTCTACTGTGACTGAATTTAGAGGTCAGTTTTCAGTGATGTATGTTATCTCTAGGTCCTAACATTATGTGGAGGCTGTCTCATTGCTAATCCCTGTACTGATCTTTCAGTGGGTTTCTGGGGCAGCTTCACCATCCTCTACTGCTAATAGTACTTCAATTTTTACTGTTTAACATCTGCTTTATACACTAGTTAGTCTAGTCTTCAAATATCTAGTCAGCCTTGGTTGGCCACACATATTTTAGGAAAGGAGCAATAATTACAATTTCTGTACTAATTTTCTTGTTAGGGTTTTCACATATGTGTTCGTTCCTTCCTCCCTCCCTCCCTTCCTTCCTTCCTTCCTTCCTTCCTTCCTTCCTTCCTTCCTTCCTTCCTTCCTCCCTTCTTTTCTGAATATGTTTAGAGAATAAGAGTGAAAGAGTAAATAAATTCCTAACATCTGCAATATTACAGATCACTTAAGAATGATTTAAGTATTGCTGTATAGATTAAAAACTTCAAAAATAGCCATGTCTTTTAGTAACGGGCCCCAGACTTTAGTACAACTGCTACCATGATGGAAGTACTACTCAGATTATAAACTCAGCACACAGATAATACCACCTACAAAAGTGAAAACAAAGGCCAGATCCGTCAAACCCATAGTTTTGGGAAATCTGCAAATGTACTAGTTCTGTTTCTGGATAACTGTTCTAAACTGAATTATGTCAGCCTAGAATATGTTTTTGTGCTTAAAAGCTCACCCTAAGAAAGGTTCAGGGTTACTCTAAGATCCTGAACCCCCAGTGTAGTCACTGGCTTCAAGTATTCTTCTGTAGTGAATACCCTACGTTTCATTAAACATTTTATTCATATATTCATATATATGTACATACACACACATAGATACATACAAATGTGTATATGAGATAATACAAAAGGGTATAGAATTATAGAGTAAATGGCCCTGGCAGCCCTTTTGAGACCAACACACCAACACAGCCACCAGTCTGTAGTTTCAATTCTCATGATCTTGGTGATCACATCACCTATTTAATGAAATTTATTTAGATTTCAGATTTTTTCCCTCTCTCTCTATTTTTCTTTCTTTTCTATTTTTCCCCCTCCCTTACCTAAGACAGGGTTTCTCTGTGTAGACTTGGCTGTCCTGGAACTGGGTAGACCTAACTGGCCTTGAACTCACAGAGATCCTACCTGCTTCTGCCTCTCGAGTGCTGCAATTAAAGGCATGTGCCATCATGGCCCAGTCAGATATACTCTTACCACTAAGAATATAGTATTAACTGAAATAACCAAAAGGATATGTTATTATGAACATTTGTTTTATTTTAAACAAAGAATATCAGCAGAATAAATACAAAGATAAGTACTGAAGAAAAAATAAAGAGTAGAAGATGCTTATGCAATTTTGAATAAATTAGGAAAGATCAGAAATTTCAGTGGATTATTTTTACATGATCACTTCAAAAACTTAATCAAGGCACTGCATTCAACCTACCCATCCAGCCAAATCTCTCATATCCTTCCCCAGGGTCCAGTCTGGGAAGTCTCTGCACCTTCTAGATCTACCCTGGGTCCTATATACAGTGTCCAGGATTTGTCTGGCTACTCCTACAGTGGTGGTTTGAAGAATAGTCCCCATAGGCTCATATATTTAAATGCTTGGTCATAAGAGAATGGTACTACATGAGAGGGATTAGGAGGTATGGCCTTATTGAAGTATGCTATTGGGGGCTATATGTTTCAAAAGCCTAAGTCAGGCCCCGTGGGTGGGTGGGGGGTGGTTTGTTTGCATGAGCGCTCTCTCTCTCGCTCTCTCTCTCTCTCTCTCTCTCTCTCATCTACATATCAAGAACTCTTAGCTACTTCTCTAGCACTATGTCTGCCTATGTGCCACCATGCTTACCTGCCATGATGACAATGAACTAAATCTCAAACTGTAAGCCAGCCCCAATTAAATGTTTCCCTTTGTAAGAGTTGCTATAATCATGGTTGCTCTTCATGGCAGAAGACCAGTGACTAAGACAACTATGGCATAACCAACCTCTATACTTCTTCTAGGACCCTCCTTACACATCTGCAAACCCATAGGTCCCTCTCATGCTATATCATACCAACCTTTCCACCCAGCCAAATTGACCCCCACACTGTAGGCTTAAAGAAGAAGGCACATCCTGTACATGGGCCCAATCTCCTCTGACAATCTGACTTTATTCATCCAAGCCATTTCAAACCTCTAGATTCAACCTATCCGCATATCCTCAATTCTGACTCAACCTGCTCTACTCATGACAGACTTCCAAAAAGAAATCCACATGCCCAAAACTCATTGCAAAAATGCAAGCAACACAGTGGACCAAGTCAGTATCTTCCCTCCAAAACCTACTGCACTTGCAAAAATGCGTGTCAATGATAATTTCCTAGATGAATGCCAGTGTACAGAATTTAAAACAACAATCATAAATTTCATCAAAGATTCAGGGAGTTTAAAGAAACTGATCAATGAAATTAAGGAAAAAGAACTTAAGGAGAATAAATACCTGAATGATGCCCAAGAAAACACTAAGACTGATGGCAAACATGAAAATAACCTATGGCTTGAAAATAGAATTCAACAAGAGAAAGAAACAGAAGAGGACTCACCCTGAAAGGGCCTTAAACTATCTAATAATAACCTCAACATGAAGCAGGAGAAGCCCCCTTTTGCTTTCCCAGTCAAAGTTGCCCAAGAGACTACTAAAATATTATAGACTATTGCTGTTGTCCTTGTTTGACCCCCCAGTAGTAGAAGGTTAAGTCCCTATTCCTGAAGACACCATGCACTTCAGTCAGACAAAGGGTCTAAAGGCCCCTTAGCTGGACCTGACTTAAATGTTTTCTCCCTGAAGCTTTCACACTGCCATAAGGCACCATATAAGCTTCAAAAGGAGGGAAGCAACCAACAGTCTTACCCAGATACGACACCTTTATACAATAACAACCAGTATGGGACAATTACTCTAAGGGCACAGTGGTGGGAAGCATACCATGCTGATAACCAACAGGTCTCTAACTAGACTTAAGTAAGAACCACTCACCAACAGGGCAATTATGCTTGATACTGGAAACCTGCCCAACTGCCCAGAGCTAGTGAAGTAAAAGATCTTGGAAGAGAATCTATAACACACCTACAATTTAGATATAATAGAGGATTTTTTTTAAAGGTAGATAGTTAACAGTATGGTTACTAAACCACAGAATCCCTAAGTACCCTCTAAGTATTTGTCCTTATACCCACACTTAAATGTAGATCTCATCTCTCATTGAAAGAATTTCTTTTTGTAATAGATGGAGACCAATACAGAAAACTACAACCAATCACAATACAGAGTTACGGAGCCCAGTCCTGGTCGATGCATCTACAAAACAACCACTATACCTAAGGCTTAGGGAAAACTTTGGAATAAAGGATGGAAAAAATGTAAGACCCTGAAGATCAGGAAGTTCACTGTGAGACATTGTCTCCTAGGAATGTCAGAAGCTATACTCATAATGCTTTACCAACATGAATGCCTAAACATGAGCCATGCCAAAGTATACTAGAGATAGACCACTCTGCCTCAACCCTACACAAAGAACTATAGGCAACCAAGGAATGCTGAAAGTGGAAGAAATAATCTACCCCAGGAAAGAGCATACCAGTTGGTTAAGTCCTGAAAATATAGATACAAGTAAAATTATTATACAGACTGAATAATGAATATATGTATACATATATATACACATACATACACATACATACATACATACATACGTACATACATACACAGACACATAATGGAAAGGTTTAGAAAAGGAAAGGAAGAAATGATATGATTATATAATAATCTCAAAAATAAAAGAAAAAAAGCTGAATAGTAGCCATATCAGAAAAAAATTAATAAAAGGCCAAAAATTAAATAGAAAAGGGAAATAAGAATCTAAAATAATACAGCAATTTTACTGTTTCTTCTCAGACAACTGTGACAACAAATATTATATTGATGAAAAGTTTAAAATACTCTATGAGGGGCTGGAGTTGTAGCTCAGTTGGGAGACTACTGGCCTAGCATTCATGAAGTCCTGTATCCAAACCCTACCCTGTACCACAGAAACTGGATATGGTAGTGCACACTTATAATCCTAGCACTTATGAAGAGGACAGGGACCAAGTTCAAGGTCAGACTCAGTTACATAGCTGGAGGTAAGTCAGAGATACATGAGACTGTGTCTTTAAAAAAAAAAAGGAAGGAAGAGACAAAGGGAGAAGAAAGGAAGAAAGAAGGGTAAGAAGAGAAGAAGGGGAAAGCTAGTATGGGATTATACGGCAACAAATGATGGTGTTAAAATTTTAATTTGTTACTTTCCAAAAAATAGTACCTAGACATTTATCATTAATGCTAGGGGAAAAATTAAGCCTTAATATCATTTTAAAAAGTGACACAAGGCCCCATTTGATTACATCAATAAACACTAAGTGAAAAATTACAACACCTAAAAGAGACCCAGCAAAGTCCCAATACCCAAATGAAGTTATGGAGAAGGAACAGCTGAAAATGAAAAACTTTTACCTTGCCCAGAGTGGCTTTGGCGAGAATCTACACTCGACTGTCTTCGATCCGATGGTTCCTCGGTTCCTCCATCTGCATTAAATTAAAAACAGCATAAACAGATGATGAGTTTGGCATCATTCCAGTGACCTCTATATCATAAAACTACTATGTTTATCACTTGTTTTATTTCTTATAAGTAGAATCATTAAAAATATCTGAGGATTTCCTTATGTAAATCAATGGCTATTGTCCTTACTCTTTTAAGGAGGGGTTTGCATTCACATCCAAAACCCAATGCTTTTTTCCCCTCCACCATACATACTTATGAAGGAACGACGGGATTTATTGATTCCAAAGTTTATTTAAAGCATTCTAGCTTAGAAGCCCTGACCTTCAAACAATGTCTAAAAGACAGACAATTGCTTGCCTAAAATATGCCAAATAATTTCATGAACTGTATGTTTTACTATAGTAAAATGACATTCACATGTTTCATAAGACGTTTTCTAAAAAAAATTAAAAAATAAGTCTTCTATTGATTAAATTAAAAAAAAACAGTAAACCTGCAAGTGATTCAGTAAGAGATAAAAGCAGACAAATCCTGAAGGTATTTTATTCATGATTTTTTTAAAAGTATGTGGCAATATTCATTTCGCTATCCATATTTTAATTTTTAAGAAGCAAGAATATACCTCTTTATACAATTTTTTTACAACTACAACAAATATAAGTTCATAAATAATTCCATTATACTATGTAGAAACAAAGTGACTCATCACAAATAAAGCACAAAAATGAAATCGATTTAGAATTCCATAAAGCATATGTAAACTTAAAACCAAAAACAAACACAACCAACCAACCAAAAGAGAAAACAATACCAGCCTAAGCTCCAGGCTTGATGGCACATGTCTCTGCTCCCAGGATCCAGGAGCTGCTGCAGAGGGGATGTAGAGATTGACTGCTTCAGGTAAACCTAACTGACACAGACTGCCAGGTCTGCCTGAGCTAACAAAGCTAAAGCATTAACATAGTGATCTAAAGTTACAGATTTCTTTTCACATCCATCATCTTTTCTATTCTCTAAAGACTCAATAATTAACTTTCACTTATTTCTAACTTAACAGAAATAAGAAGCAACAATTACAAGCAGGTTTAAGAAGCACTACTCTTGCTCTGTCATCTGTGTTCTTTTCTTCTGTCCTAGAAAGCTTGTTTTAACATTTACTTCTTTTTAAATGCAGGGCCTATATTTAAATTTATTAAGGAAATGAAGTTTGGTGTTTTTTTTTTTTTTGGTTTTTCAAGGAAATGAAGTTTTTAAGAGTACATTTATCTTATGTAAGACTTAATACTAATTAATATATATCAAATATATTTTTCAATTGTTGTTCTATTGCATAGGACCTATGTAATAGGTGCCATGAGGATCAGCATCAACTAATCGATTTTATAAATATAAAAATTATAAATATAGAAGATAATTGGCAGAAAATATCTATATCTGAGTCCATTATGAACTTGGTAACTTAATATTCTGCTATTAGTAAAATTTTTAAAATAATTCAGAAAACCAAAAGATGTAACACAAAGCCATATTTTTGTCAGAATACAAACATTTTAAAGATAAAACCCAGTTCAAATATTATAAATCTGATAGACATGCTAAGAAAATACAATAGTACTCGAAATACAAGGTTATGAATCTTTAAGTCAAGTGGTACCCTTTAATCCCAGTACTCAAAAAGCAGGATGGTTTGAGGCCCATTATGATATACAGAGTAAATTCTAGGACAGCCAGGGCTAGACAGAGAAACTCTGTCTCAAAAAAAAAAAAAAAGAATCTTTCCTTTAATATAATAAGACAAAAAATTAAAACAAAAAGGTCCCTATACATTATTATTCCAGAATAAGTTATCTACCTTAGTTGAAACTATGATTCAAATTTTCCACAATGCTGGAAGCTTCTATACAGGTAGCAAGGGGATGAAAGTCAACAATCGCACTTTACAGCTTTAGACCTTGCATGCTATAATACCTAAACTTGCTAGGCAAGAGATGCTTACCACTGCAATAATGGCACAAGTTATTATTGGAGTAACCAGCTGATTTCTGATTGAGGGCCACTCTGTAGGAGGAAGTTCATGTGCTAACAAAGTCAAAGGTCCATGGCTGGTAATTCCTAGGTACTAGGGACATTTTACCACTATTATTTTGCTAAATGAGCATATTTGAGAACCTCTTTAATATTTATGTTTATGTCCATTGACTAATGTTATCCTCAGCCTTAATCAAGGAAGTTTCTCTTCAGAGCAAACAGCTGTTAAAGCAAGTCAAAGGGCTAAAAACGAGTGATTGTAGCATGCTCTGCATTGACTATGCACTCATTCAAGGCCTCTCCAAGACCCAGAAAACATAAAAAAAGAGAGGCAGAAAATGTCTAAGAAACAAACCACAGAGAAGAATGCCATAAAACATTAACTTAAGGGCGTGACAGCAAAGGTACTCAACTCCTAACAGCTAGTGCTGCCTGTGTAAGGCTGCATAAGACTGAGTCAGGAAAAAATGTCAGCCATAGAGAGGAGAGGGGCACATGGGTAGGAACCTTATCCAGGACGCTAAAAGCAGTCAAGGGCTGCTGGATGTTAGGAAATCACTGTCTTCAATGACGTGGCCCTTGGTTAGTTATTCATGTTTCAAGGAGATAGCCTCACACTCATGCACACATTGAGTTACCCTGTTTAAAACCAGTATTTCACAAAGCAAAATAAAAACAGAATAAAAAGAAATACAAGCGTGAAAGTATATATGGAAAGAAGCTGAAGTACTGATGGAGGTGTGAGGAAGAAGAGAGACCATGAAAGGATGGGTGTGTTACAGACGTGCAAAACTGTCAAAGGATAAATTAAGAACTAAAGAGACTTTTTAAAAATTCTAATTATTTTTAAGGAATCGTCCATGTTTATATAATTTTAACTCTGCATTCCAAATAAACAATTTTACAGATTCTTTTTATAAGGCTTGATATTTTATATATTTATTTATATTGGTTTTTCAAGACAGGATTTTTTTCTCTGTGTAGCCCTGGCTGTCCTGGAACTCACTTTGCAGACCAAGCTAGCCTTGAATTCAGGGATCTGCTTGCTTCAAAGTGCTAATACCGGAGGTGTGTGCCATCACACCTAGCAACACTTGATATTTTAACTGGACCAACTCAAAGTTAGAATTTGTTGTTATTTTTAACCCTCTAGGAAGTCTTCTACCTCAAACGTTCATGCATTAATATCCAATATGCCCAAAATTCTTAAAGATTTTTGCTTAACTTGTATTTCTCTTAATAGTAAAATGGGCTGGGATGATACTTGCTGCACCAGAACAAAGACCTATTAACTCTAGCACTGATTAGGCACAGAAATGCCAACCCTGAGGGTTCAACTTGCCTGGCTAAACAGTGAGCTTCCAGTTAAAGTAGACACCTCTTTGCAAAAATGTAGGGTGGACAAGCAACTGAGAAGATGTATGTCTTAATTAATGTTTGCTCTCCTTACCTGCATAGGTGAGTCATGTGTGCATGCATGCATACATGCGTGTATGTATGTGTATAAGCTCTTCTAAAAATAACAAACTTAAAAAAGCAAATGAATTTATTCAAAAACTAGTGAAATTAAATATATTCCGCTGGCTCTTTGGTTGTGTTATCCTGTTTCTATCCTATTTCTGCCAGCAGGACCTTGTACATGCTCAGTGAAACACATCGCTTAAGTGACATCATTGTCACATCTTCTAATCTTTGTAATTCTAGAAACTCCTGTTTCATTTTTCTCAGATTGATTTTTTAGATCTTTTTTAAAAAATATTTTAACAGGTTGATTAATCAATAGTAACTGGGTATGAATTTCTTTACATTTTTCTGTTTAAGGTTAAGTGAGTTTCTTTTGATAAATATGACAAATATTCAGCTGTTGTTTAAATAATGTTTCATCATCACATTTCTATTTCTCTTCTTCTGGAACTACAATGGTACAAATGCTGACCTTTTGTTTCTGTTTTATATATCTCCCAGGCTCCCCATTTGTTTGTTTGTTTCTCTTTAGGTTTTGATAATTTGTATTTATATGCTTTCAAAATCATATATTCTTGTGCTCACTGTATTCTGTTAATGACCCTTAAAAGTTCCATTTTTCTTTGGTTATTATATTTTAGTTTTAAATTTTCTATTAGATTCCTTTTTGTGTCTTCTATTTTCTCATTAAAACTTTTGTCTTTCTATTCATTTTGAGGTCATATAATTGCTATTCAAACATTTTTTATAAGTCATCTTTGTCCAGTAATTTCACCAACTCACCTATATATTAACATCTATCATCTTTTCCTTGATAAACTGGTATTTACTAGTTCTCTGTACATCAATTTTATATTGTTAATCTTTGTGTGTAATTTTAGATTAAATCTGAGCGATCTCAATATTTTAAATTATGATTCAAGTCTTTTTTTTCTTTTCTCTTTCTTTCTTTCTTCCTTCCTTCCTTCCTTCCTCCCCCCACCCCTCTTTCTTTCTTTTTTTTTCTTTTGCGGTCCAGTCCTTATCCCTCTCCAGGTCTGCCCTCTGACTATTGCTCATCCCATACCTTCCTCCCCATACCCACTCCATCTAAGTTTCCCCATCCCACCCCACCAGACCTCCCTACTCTCTGGGGCCTCAATCTTCTTTATCTGGGAAATGTGAGCCCTCAAATGTCTCTTGGATCAATCTTAAAACTCTTTGATATGATAATTAGGGTCAGAGCTACTGTAAACATTAAGTGTGAACCTTGGTGTTTATAACGTTCTGGTCTTCTTTTCCTGAGGTCTCCTTCTCTACAGTCTTTTGTATGTTCCAGTTTGCTGGTATTCTTAGAAAATGGGCTGTAATAAACAGCTCTACTATTAGACAAGGTTCTCCCCTCAGAATTTTATCTTCTGTGGGTTCTCACCTTCAATAACAAAGTAGGAGGATAGGGCAAGAAGAAAAGAAAACAGGGAGGTTAGGGAGGACTTCTATATGATCTCTCTGTGTGAGAAATACTCTTTTCCATTCCTCAAATCAGAAC